GGAACAAACCCAGTGGTTTGATGCTGTCAGGGAACTGCCATCAGCTCAGGGGCGAGAGGGGAAAAGCCGGATGGATTACAGAGAGCCCTCAAAGATCGGAGGAGGAGAGTAGCCACGCCTCTAGTGGAGAGGAGCTGCAGGGCTCACAGGAGGTGAGGCGGTGCCAGGACACCTTGCCTGAGCAAAGCGGGGAGGAGAGAGGTCCTCCGTTAGCATGCCCTCCTTGCGCAGTAGGCTTCCGCGCAGAGAGGGGAAGCGCAGACTGGGTGCCAAGAAACTACTCTGTTGGGGAAGATTTAAGGACCGCCCACTCTCAGATTCTGCCAGTGAATGAGCGAGCCAAGGAATAGCTCTGCATGGTGAAGGTTTTTTTTGGCACCAGTAACAAGGCTTTACAACAGACCAGGGAGATAGTTCCCTGATTGCTCTCGAGCAACCCCCTGATACCCTTACAGCAATCTGAGAGTCCCTGACGTTGCTCGAGGGTAGATGTGTGAAGGCAGTACGATGAGCCAGACCAGACCAGCAGCAGAGACGGAGCAGAAAGCTATGGTGCAAGGGCTAATTGAGAGGAACCAAGACCTTGAGGTGCACATTGCTATGCTGTCAGCCCGGCTGGAGGAGAGGCGAGCACAGGATGGTCAGGCCAGAGCCACCCCGACTGGAAGGAAGGTCCCAGGGCTAGTGAATAAGTTTGGAGGAAAGCCCCAAGATTACAACGCGTTCCGGACAGAGATACAACACACGTTGGAATTACAAAAAGGGGAGCTTGCTAGCGACCGAGAGAACGTTGCATTCGTAATCGGACACCTTGAGGGCGGGGCTAGAGAATGGATTAGCAGTGGGGCACGATGCTTTGAAAGACCTGAAGAAATTTTATCAGAAGATGGATGCTATGCTCTCCAGTGAGGCGGAAGGAAGTGTGACATGAAGGAAGCTGCTGAGTTGCAAAAAGGGGTCTCTGACCGTCAGGAGCTACTGGTCGCATTTTGCGATGTTAGTGCACAAGCTAGGCTGGGACCTAGACTCCGAACCCCTGCAAGCTCTGTTTGAGGCAGGTTTGAATCCCGAAGTAAAGGATGAATTATACAGAGCCCCCGCCCACAGTCCATGGATGAGCTAACTAAAACGGTGTTAGCGATTGGAGTGTGGCAGGAAGCGTGGGCTTAGGAAAGGCGGGAGGCCAGAGAGAGCGGTTCCATGGCAACCGCATTCCTGAGATGCCTACAGGGACTTCCCACAATCTGCCGGCAGCAGAGCCAATGGAAATTGATGGAGCCCGTGCACGCGAGTTTTCAAACGCCGGTGAGCTCAGGAAGAAAGAGGGGAGGGACTGGAAAACAGCCAAAAGGTGTTTCAACGCCCTGGACATTTCGCAAAGGTCTGTACCCAGAAAAAAGCCTGGCAAGGCATGATGGCAGCAGGCAAAGAGGAGGAGGGAGAGAAGGCTCAGGTGCAGGGAAATGAAAAAGCCTGGCTACAGACCAATAGGGGCAGCAGCCAGGCAGGCGACCAGTAGAATAACCCCAACCAGACCCTCCCAAGGCAGGCATAGCAGTTGAAGTGGTGCTAGGACTCCCTAATGGGCACCCAGTAGAAGTCCACGCTCTTCTAGATTCGGGGTCGTCTTGCAAATTTTTCAGCAGAGACTTCGCTCTGGAGCACCAAATACACCTGTTGCCACTAGATTTCCTCTTGCAAGTGACCACCATTGATGGCAGGGAGCTACTGGGGGGGGAGTGACACACCAGACACCCCCGGTGAGGATGAAGTTTTCTAGGCACGCGGAAACCATTGCCTTTCACATGGCCACACTGGCAGGACCCCCCATCATACTGGGAATGAGTTGGTTGGCACTCCATGACCCAGTGATGTCATGGCATCAATGTTCCCTCACCTTTTGGTTGGCTCATTGCTTGGAACACTGCCTGGGGGGGGGGAGGAACCAAGAATGACTATGGCCAGGGTTGCTGGGGTGACTCTGGAGGAGAAGGGGTGCGTGCCACCACAATATGCAGATTTGAAGGAAGTGTTCAGCGAGAGAGAGGCTGACAAGCTGCCCCCCCCAGGCCCTATGACTGCCAAATCAACCTGCTTCTGGGGGCCCAGTTGGCGGTGGGTAAGCTGTATTCCATGTCCGACCAGGAGATGCAAGAGTTGAGGCAGTTTATTGACAAGAACTTAAAGAGGGGTTTCATAAGGGAATCGAAGGCAGTAGGGGGGAGCCCAGTATTCTTTGTGGACAAGAAAAAGACGAAACAGCATCGCCTTGTAGTGGATTATCGCCTCTTGAATAAGGTAACTGAACTCGTAGTCTTTCCCCGTGCCCAGAATTGACGATGTTTTGACGTGTGTGAGGCAGGGGAAAATTTTCACCAAACTGGACCTAAGGGGAGCGTACAATCTGATTAGAGTGAGAGAGGGGGATGAATGGAAGATGATCATGTTCCCCTCCCTGGGAGCGTTTGAGTATCTCGTCATGCCGTTTGGATTGCAATCAGGATCCGCCTGCTTTCAAGCCTTTATGCACCACGTGTTGGGGGCCCTGCTGTACAAGAATTGCGTGGCCTTTTTGGAGGACGTTTTGATCTTCTCTGAAAATGAAGCACAGCACGTGAAAGACATCAGGCAGGTGCTAGAGAGATTGAAGAAACATCAGTTGTAGGTCAAGCTGGAGAAATGCCAATTCCATGCTCAAGAGGTGGAGTTCCTGGGGTACAGACAGTCGGACAAGGGGCTGGCCATGGACCCGGAGAAGGTGAAAGCAGTGCTGGAATGGAAGAGCCCCAAAACAAAGAAGGATGTCCAGAGTTTCCTAGGTTTCAGCAACTTCTACAGGAAGTTCATCAAGAACTTTGCTCACTTGACAGCACCCATAACGGATTGTCTCAGCAGCAAGAAGACGTTTGCATGGACCAAGGAAGCGCAGTGGTCCTTTGAAAGGTTAAAGGCGGCTTTCGCCTCTGAGGAGCAGCTCCTGCATGTGGATCCGGGGAAGCCACTGAGAGTGGAGATGGACGCTTCAGACCGGGCCATCGGAGCAGTACTGTTGCAACAAGGGTCAGGGGAGGACTGCAGACCTTGTGCATTTTTCTCCAGGAAACTGAGCAAGTCAGAGCAAAATTACACTGTTTATGACAAAGAATTGCTGGCCATTTATGCGGCTGTGATGGCCTGGGAATCTGATTCAGAGACTGAACCAGAGAAATCCCAGCCTGCACAGGAGTCGCCGCCTCCAGGGCCAGCTGAGGTGGTGCAGGGCCTTGAATCTGAAGGGCCCGCACCTGTGCCAGATCCTCAGGAGCAGACACCAGATGAATCCACTCTGGCTCCGGGGGTGATTGAGGACCCATTGCCTGCAGGTGCTCCTCTCCCAGCCCTGTCAGGGGAAGGTGAGGCGGCCTCTGGGTCCAGTAACCCTCCAGCCTCTCCTGAGCTGCAGAGGCTGAGGGCAGAGAGGCGGAGGGAAGTAAGTTCTATCAGGAGGAGTGCTCGCCTTAAGGCCAGGAGAGGCGAGTCACCTGTGGGCCGGGACCGCCCTAGGCCCCAGAGGAGTTAAAGGCCAGTCAGCCAAGTCCCAGGTTGCAGGAGCAACGTCATTGGAAACCTGTTTCTGCCAGCACCCAGACCTGTTTTTCCGGAGTTCCCAACCATGCCTGGCTTCTTGCTTTGGACCCCGCTTCGCCATTGGTGGACAGTCTCCAGACCCTTGACCGGACTCTGACCACGCCTCACGGTAACCCCCGCCCCAGAACGAGCACAACGGCCTTTTGGCAGTGGAGTCACTTTTTGTTTGGGGTGCAGCACCAGATCCAGGTCCGAACGAACCACAAGAACCTGGAATACTGGCGGACAGCACGTGTGCTCAACCAGAGACAGGTCCGGTGGTCGCAGACATTCTCACAGTATCACTTTGAGATACAATACATTCCTGGAGGGGGGGGGATGTGAGGGCGGACGCACTTTCCAGAAAACCGGAGTATATGGAAGGGGAAGGACATCCTGTGGCCAGGCCCATGTTCCCAGAAGACCGATGGTCATGTGGGGGAGCACTGGTAGGGGAGCAAGAACTGGTTGGGCTCACCAGACACGATGAGTTTGCTCCGACTAAATTAGGAAGAACAGAGATGGAAAGGTGGGAAATGGGGGGGTTGAGGAAAAAGGAGGGCTCTTGTACTACAAAGGGGCACTGTATGCACCGGGAGAGGCATTGAGGGCCAAAATACTTAGGCAGCTCCATGACAACCCCACAGCCGGGCATTTTGGGCAGCATAAGACCATGCTACTAGTCACCAGACAGTTCTGGTGACCCAAGGTGGCCCATTTTTGGAGGTTTACATCAATACAAATGACAGAATATGTGAACCAATAGGCTTTCCTTTGATATATTTAAGCAGAGGAATCTTCGAAAGTTGATCAAATCATAGTTCTTATTCTAATTGCCTCTATTGAGTTTTGTGTAGTGTTTGCTGTCATCTTGGTTTCCAGACCCAATCAGCCCAATCTCCTTCCTCTGCACAAATTCCAGCTTATCAATTATCCTAATTAAATTGTAGCGCCCAGAACTGGACACAGTTCTCCTGGTCAAGGCAAAATGGAGTGGAACTATTACTTCTCTTGATCCGGACACTATAATTCTGTTGATTCAGCCTAGAACAGCTTTAGCAGTGCAGATCTCCAGCCAACTAATGTGTGCTACAAAGAAAATGTAAGAGGAAATGTTCATAAAATGCATATATTAGTGAATATAATATAGAAATGACGTATATTAGAGCAAATTGTTTGTAATCCATATGAAGTAACCATGTTTCTTGGTGAAATCTCACACTAAACTGCTGGTGAATTTTCATGAGTATTCCCCGCTGCCCCCAAGAACCACGTATTTCTACAGAATTGTGGAGAACTGAACAGAAGATTGGAAAAATCAGAAACTATCAGAAGCTGATGTTGGCAGATTCTCCCCTCTTTATGAATGACTCACAAATTCAAGAGATTTCCTCTCATAAGTTTTTGACAAAGTCTACGATGCTGTCTGTTAATTCAGCTGCAGCGGGGAATGCAAAGATGCATCCTTTGAAAAAGTTTATCATCCCATGAAACCCGTTCTCAACATGGAACCAGCTGACTTTCACCCCATTGTCCTCCAGACGTTTCTTGTACAGCAGTACTTCGTCTCGTAATATGTCGTACTCGCAGCTCACAATTAGGGTTTCAGGAAGCTTCTGGATGACAGAGTCCTCAGCAAAAAGGCAAGAAAAATCGGCTTCTAATATCTCTGACAGTTGCCTATAGACTTCAGGTTCATAAGGAGCAAGTGGGACTTGTTTGTAGCCTCTCCCCTTAAATCTCTCTGGAAGGTTGTCTGGACTCACCCATTTCCCATATTTCAGCCTCATTGAATCTGGCACATGAGAGCCCTTCAGGACCTGGCCTAACAAAGAAGGGTCCTTTCCAAAGTACTTCAGGCATAAGTAAACAACGTTTTCCCGGAACAGGATGGGCACTGAACTGTTCTGCTGATAGGAAGGCAGGTTGAAGTCCATAGTCTGTGTCAAAGGATAGATGAGCACTTGAGCCCGTAGCTTTGGAAGGTCTGATATCTCCACCAATTTCTGGGCAACAACACAAGCATAATTGCCCCCCGCACTGTCCCCACCAACAATGATCTTGGAAGGATCCACCCCATGGGAAGCTGCATTTTGAATTAAGTGTATGGTAGCAGCAAGGCAGTCCTTGTACTGAGCGGGAGGAAGATGCTCAGGAGACAGGCGGTAGCTGTAGAATAAAACAGAATCAAAGCGGTAAACTTCCAGAATCTTTTCCAAACACATTCATGATCACATAGAATTACAAGAAGAGCCTGCTGGATCAGTTGTAGCAGATACAATGCAGGTGAAAGTTAGCTGGCTTATGCCCTTAAAAAGCCGACTTTAACAGCTAGCAAAAGAGTGTAGGGAACGCTGGGGAAGAAGAACCGTGCAGGATTGGATCCAGCTGGTGGAAGACCATTTGCCACTTGCAACTTTCCCTCCTCCTCCTGTTTAGATGCAAGGGGCGTTTCCCAGTCTCTTCCTGAGTATACATTTAAAAGCCCTAACTGAACATTAGCCCCACTCCCAGATTGATTCCAGGCTGGATCTGGGTTGGGTGGTGTCAGGGAACTGCCATCAGTACTGGAGGGGGAGCGCAAAAGCCAGAGGGATTCCAGAGAGCGTCCAGGGATTGGGAGGAGTAGCCCATCTTCTGGGGAAGAGAATCAGTGTAGCACCAGTGGAGAAGGGGGGGCAGGTGGGGGAAGTGGCGAGGCGGTCCCATGACTCCTTGCCTGGGACCAGCGGGGAGAGTAGGGGTCCTCCGTTGCCCATGCCATCCCTGCACAGAAGGCTTTCGCACAGAGAGGGTAGGCGGAGACTAGGCGTCAAAGAACTTCTTTGCTGGAAGAAGTTTAAGAAACGCCCACTCACAGATTCTGCCAGCGATTGAGTCAGCCACGGGTGAGTGGCTGTCCGGACAGAAGAGGTTCACTTTGGCAGCCCAGCCAGGTGTTTGCACCCAGCCAGGGAGATAGGCACCTGCTTACGCACGAGCAACCCCTAGAACCATTACAGGTGGTC